ATTAGGAACTCTGACAAGATCAGTCGCCACTTTGTAGTTGAAAATATTTCGTGTCTACAGCGTTTCTGATATGGTGCGAGACTCTGTGATATCAAGATTCTTGGTATTTCTGAATCCACGAAGAAATAGTCTCGTGTGGGCTGTCACAAGGCAGTGTAGGTAGTTACTAATAAGGTATCGCATATAATATCTTGATTGATCGAAATAAAAATTTGGAGAAACATATTTTTCACGAATGATCCTAATGATGCATATATTCTCGATTCGACGATATGTAACGATATCCTAACGATTCTGTAATATCCCACAACCATACACCCACTCGTATGTATATTCCACGTCACCCGAAACTTCAAAAGAAATAACACCTTAAGAACCAAGGTGAAAAGGACATCTAAGATATAACTCAACAAACCGGGAACTTCGAGAAATACGAAATAACAAATTTTCACCGGCTAAAAATCTTCATGAGGTTATATTCGTTTCACTGAAATTCGATAATGCGAATACCAAATGACAAACTCAAAGTTGGCACGTAGTAACGTATATCCAACGTTTGCCCTATTATCAAACCGAGCGTTGTAATTGCAATTACTGGTTAACGACATGGCTGCTGTACGACACTCTCTTGTCATTACGTTTCTGTTTGTGTCCAACGTTATTACACTGTTATTATATACTATATATATATATATATATATATATATGTATATATACGACTCCGCCTTATTTGTATACATATACTGTATGATTCGATCCAATTAAAAAAGAATAGAATCAAATATTGAGTAAACAAGACATTACCGTTCCACGCTTTTGAGTACCTCCATCAACTTCCATAGCAATCCGGAATTGCTGGGATTTTTGCTCGAAAAATATAGATCATATAATATGTAACATACGCCTGACACGCCTGCAATTGGAAACACGTGTTGCCTTTATTATGACGTAGCTGTGAGACACGTCAAATTATCCACGTGCCCCGAAATGATTACGTCACGAATATAGAGTCGGACATACGTAATAAAGTCAAGACTACCAGAGTCCCTGAAACATATTTGAAGTTTCTTGTCCACATTCCAAAATTTAAATGATGTCATAAAGGTTGGTAAACGGTATCGATATATGTTAATGTAGACTCCCTCTTATGCTTATAAAAATATTTAGTCTTATAATCTGGTATACTAGACACGCTTCTAGTAACACTAGCAGCACGTATCCATAATATATTGCGTGACAAATTACATGACGAATGCATAAGAATGAAGAAGAACGTGTTTCGGGTTCACGTTGAAATATGAAAGTTAAAAATATACTTAACCCGTAACAATACATATGCAGTCTCAGCGACCTTACTAGTTTTTATTTATTAAAAGAAAAATCTATTAAATATTAATTATTCAATATCTAGCCGTTAAATTTATTTAAACTAAGAGCTGACTAACTTAACACTTTACTTTCGAGCTATACTGTTTATACTAATGACCTGACAATCTAGTTTCTCCGATTCAAGTCCAGTGACGTCACCATATAAAGTGTTTCCCTAAAGTCTGATCTGTGTAGTTAAGGCTTACATTTCTCGTGGCTGTCGAGTCTGCCTTTAAACATATCAAGTAGAAGCCTATATTTCACTCTTCGCCGTGTATAAGGATATCTTCTCTTCCAGGGTAGTTAGCACGTGGCGGCTGGCAAGCGGGTGAAAAAGAGGACCGTTGCGAGAAGCCCCCGTCAATCAGAGGGTTTTCGTGTTTACCCAAAGTAAACTGTAAAAAAGTGCTTCGCACGGTTGGATTACGAGATATAACGATGAGCTGAAGTTAACGTACTGTCGATAGATGTAAAAATATAAATTCACGATAAATCCAGAACACGTGTAAGAAGATTGTTGAACTGTGATTGGACTTGGTGGGTCGGCAGTTCCGCAGGCCGCTTTTTGCACGTATCGAAAGACTCGGTCGAGTCTTGCGCCAAGTACAGGCAACCGGTGACCCAGCCAAGGCGACGATGCAAGTCATGTAACTGAGCGTCATTAATGGCGTCCTGCTTGTGGACGCCGTGCGGTGAGGAAAAAGAAGAAAGTTAGCAGTGACTGATTACGCACCTCGGCCCGCGCGTGCAACGGCCAAACCTTGCGAGAGCTACGGTAGCGTCATATTGCCGACTCGTTCGCACTGATGCTCTGCGAAAAGGACGCAACCAGCGACGCTTTGTCGTTTCGCTCGCACCATGTTTCCCCCTCTCTGTTGCTCGCACGGCCTGAGGTACGGAAGTGATCCTGCACACTCTCCTCTCTTACCTTTACCACACAGTATCAATAAGCTGGACACCATTAATGACGCGTTTTCTTTTTAAATTTGTATATATTTTTATGTATTTCTAAAAAAAATTCACTTATAAATTAAATTTATATGCCTTCAAACATTTTCGACAACGCAATACATTTTTATGATTAGCGACATCGTAATGTATTTACATTTTATATCTGTAACAATATAGATTTCAGTGTTGAGAAACAAAAAAGACTTGCGTGTAAAGAATTACGCCAAGTACAGGAGTGCTGTTAATTCCTTTAACAAAAAATATTTAAATGATGTTGACTAAACATACCCGTGTGATCTATGCCGCGCGGTTCTCATATGTAGAATATACTATATTAGAGTTGGGGTGGAACAGGCCCAGCTCCACCAAAAAGAAAGCTCTAACGGAACCTATCAGAAAAGACGATAACTTAACGGATCCTGTCGATCTTTGGGGTCGCGTAAAATCAGCAAACCCAACTGGATGCACAAACGGGAGCGGACGGTTACGGAAATGCACGGCCGCTCAGGCTGCTAGGTTGAGGTAGAGAGGGTCGGAGTAAGAGTCAGGCAAACAGTGCATCGTAAAATCACGTCACAGTGGTGACTCATGTATTTGGCATTAATAATATGATTTTAATACTTTTTGTTAGAGGAATAAACAGCACTTCTGTACTTGGCCAGTACTTGGGGTCAGTACAATTGCACTCCACTAACAGTTGCAAGTTATTTGGTGATTAACTAGGAACTGCCCCAAAGAGCTAAACTTGTTTAATCCTAAATACCAACATTTTATACGTATTCTGATATGGAAAATTTTACTGTTAGGATATTGGCGATTTATCTGATACAAAAATCATATTATTGTACTGTAATAAAATAACATTCGATTATTTTAGACACTTAATAGTTTAATTCAATATTTCATTCCAAAACCCTATATCGCTGGTGTCAATTTAACAGAAGGTTGACTATCACCTAGGTCAGAGTTCGCTATTCGAACCTTGTAAAAGTTCAAGTTACACTTGTCTACTTTATCGACATTGTCAAAGAACAGGACACTTCAGCCTTGTAATACCTTAAGATCTTCGCTATTTGTATTACCTGGTAATATATCGATTGAGAACTGAAGCCTATATCACGTATATACAAACGAGATCGATAAGAATCTGGATTTTCACATGATTAAATTTATAAAGTTGGCCATGCTGCTTTTATCGAATTAAACTAAGTTCATAGTTATAAATTACCTGGAATTATTTATTCATTAAAGGTACAGTGATACGTAAGACTGGATAGGTTGATGCGAGAACGGAACGAGTACTTTTGTTTAATATTGATTTTCTTTAGTTATTAGCTTGAAAGTTTACCCACGTTGAGTTCGTCCACGTGATTAGGGAAACCCTATATATTCAAACTGACTATTTGAACCTATGGAATTCTGTGGCAACCAAAGCGCTTGGTGTCGTTCATTAATTTGTCAAAGTACTAACCCACGTATTTTACAAGAAAATAGGTACATTTGTACGTATTCCAAAAAATTCTTATCCTCCGATATCTTTGTGATAAGGCAAAGCTACCCGACTCGCTGAAAATAGAGAATATCCATATACGCCAATTAGTTGGTTACATCTGTATTTCCTCGTGCCGTAGTGATCACGTGGACGCAAAAGTAATATGACAACGTGCTTCGCAATTACGGAACGCTATTCAATAACATAGATTTATTCCATGAACATACAATGTATATATATGCACTATACTAGAGATTGTCGTATGAGTGTATTATCGAAAAGAGCAGATACAGCAGCAGTAAGGATTATGCGAAAGCGAATTTTCATACCGAAATAAACTTTACCGTAGGTCGTCTTAAGAGGATATTTCTTTCAGGATGTGAAGGGATAACAGCATTCAAGTGGCTGTGATGAAAACCACGTGAAACTTTTCGTGTAATATTGTGCTTCAAGAAATTCAAGATCCTTCGACAAAGAACAGATTCCTCCGGTATCTTCTAAGTACGTTAACTTATGATGGTTTTCATCTTGATACTACCTATAATGTCCCCAGTAGCCCTCGTCCATGGACCATTATCAATCGGCGCCATAACGTCGCCTTGAAGCCTCCTAACGCTAAATGCGATTCACCATCCTGTAAACAACGAAATATTCATCGAACGGGATGGGTCTCCTGCGTCCTCTGAAATTACGAAGGGCTACTTAAAGGAAATATTCTTAAAGATAAAGAACGCTTGAACAGGGATGAAGTACCCTTTGTCCTTTTTCCATTGTCAAAGCACTTGTCTTCTGTCGTCTATGACTACGCGTGTCAGAATTAGATATTCTATGGACAGTGTCTTTATTCTGTCATCATTCTCACTGCTTCGTCCGTTAAAAATTATTGCGACGTAGAAAGTCGATTGATACGGAATTCAGAATTTTTACACTGATTCGTGATAATTCCAAAAAAAATATAATGAGCGTATAGTAACGGGATAGAAGTAAACATTTTATAAATTTCGGTAACTGAAATTTATAAAAATGTAAGATTTACTAATTTAAAAAAAAAATATACAAAAATTTTCGAACAATATTTTAGGAATTTCTTCACTTTCTTTTAGCTTAGATCGATGATTTAGAGGGGGGGAAAATCCAGCAGTAATGTCAGCGACAAATTTGTCTGGGGTTTTTTCTATAACCAGAGGAAGGGAAGTTCAAATGGCGCAATCATAGTACTATCAATCATCGTTACTACTGGTATTCTGTTGGAAAGGGATCGCAGAGGTAGTTCGAAAGTTTTTGATTTTCCACTTGTCATTCGAAGAGTTATCAATAGAAGGTGACAAACCCTTAAAAAAATTACACCGATGAATTTACCAAAAACTCCGAAAACCAAGGTTAGGATAATATCTAAACGAGCTCTGAGCAGACCTAAGTCATAGTCTTTTTCGTGAGAAGAAGATCAAAGGAAATGTAAAAAAAATGTCTGCTCTAATTGTAGCAAAGTTCAGAAAACGTTAGTTATTAGATTTTGTGAAGAAAGACAGAAGCGAAATTGAACATGACTTCTTCACTGACATAAACTATAATATAAATTTTAAAAAATAAACACGTCAAGTTCGTTAAAAGAATATCGGATAATGACACGTTATGGAAAATCACATTGTTCTGCTCCGGATAGTCATAGCAGAGGAAATTCATCCTGCGATAAGATGCGGTTTCGAAAACGGAAAAATATCTTACATCGTATACAATCAAAGAAATTTCTTAACGTGGCCGAAGTGGTGTATGGATTTTTGGGTAATATGGCTATTATCGATGCCGAAAGAAGATTCGATTATAAACGCTGCGAAGTCGGTTCTGCTGGTTTAGAAAGGGATGGACTGATGCATAAACAACCTCAAAAGTCACGTCTTTACAAAAAGCGAATACGTCATGATTATTCTGGCACTGCTTTGCATACTGGACATAAATATAAGAAAAGATTGCAAAGAATTATTAATGTTAAAAACGCATCGAAACCACTGGCAATTGATACCCAGATTTCACCGAGGAATAAAGAGGCAACTGTACCTAAAAGTTTATCTTGGATATCGCATATGATAACAAGGTTAAATAAGCCGCCTTTTTTCATTCAAGTTACCAACGATTACATCAAAGCTAGCCTTGGAGCAGGTAATGAAAAAAATGTGATTTAGTATTGTATTCATTGGACTTATACCACGATCTATTTTTAGATAGTTTACGATTATTGTATTTACTATTGCGAACGATAATTATCTAATTCTTGTACGTGTTACTATCATAGCTCTGTCAAATTTTCAATCCGCGCGTGGAAAGGATGACGAAAGTAGAAGCCAAAGGAGGAAATTGCGAAGGGGGCCTGAAAACTGCAACAGTCTCGACCGGAAATCGCTTCGTCGTGGAATTTCACCGTGGTTTACGTCTAATCGACGACGTAGAAGCGGAGAGAGCGAGGCTGTTGTAACAAAGAAGACGGGGAAGATTGATAAGGACAATCGAGATAAAGCGTCGAGCCTGGAGACTTCGACTGGATCGTCAAACAGATCGGCTTCCTGTATCGAACGAAACAAGCGCAGTAGAAGAAGCAAATCACCATTGTATAACTGATATATATATTTTAGGAAAATATCAAAATAATTTGAAGTGATTATACGTGTTTGTTACAGGAAACGGAAAAATATGAAAAGCAGATTAAAAAACATGCCGTGACGATGCCACTAAAGAAATTAATTATTGATGACGATGAACTTGCGACTATGACTGTTGAAAATGAATAAAATAAAGAAATGTTATAATGCTTGAATTTTATTATTAAATAATATAAATCGTCGATACAGTTGAATTTTTATAAGCATGTACATATCTTGAAAATTGTTGCATTGTTTTATATAGAGTACGTTATATGTTTATATATAGTACGTTAAGTCATAGGAAATTCTCTCTTTCACACCCTGTTCTATTTACGTCTGAGACTTCTTTCATATCGAGAACAAAAGGGAACTTTTCACGAGGATAGTTTATCCATACAGCTGTCATAGACAGCTGGATCAGCTTCAATTCCTACGGCTCTGCAGCTACAATCGCCTTTTCGCCCAGAATCTCGAGATATCATCCAACAAACTTCGCGTTCTCGATGCGCTTCTGTTCCAACAGTTAAACTCGAAACAGTAAAACCTCTTGTTTTTGTCAAATAGATCTGAAAAATCTTAGGTAAAATCACGCATCACGATCCGCACCTTAAAATTATAAATATACTCGTAAATTTGCCGAGGTGGTGAATCTGGTATCTTAAAATCTTGAAACGATCGAATAAAAGAATGAGCCAAAGCAAAAAAGCATCGGAACGTGCATCGCAAAAGCAAGAAGGTACTGACGGGGAGTATGAAGAGGACGCGAAGGAATCTGGTCGTAAATCTGAGGATCCTCGTTCAACCAAGATTACCGATCTCGTCTACAAGTACTTAGGTAAGGCAAAGCTGCTGTGATTTATTTAATCGCATAAAAAATGTAACATTTAACATGCCACAAAACAACCCGCGATGTTATCGCGTACAGGCTTCTTTACCGGCTTATTGGATTTTTTAGACACGAGTAATTCCCAGGGTTCTCTCGACGAAGTCAGCCCTCAAAGCAGCACTTCCGGTGCGGATGATCGAGTCGGAATGGCTTCTGGTAATTTTAAATAGCGTCACGCACCCCTTTTCAAAATACCCACAATTCCTTTCAGTTCGACACTTTAATCCTGTAGAATTTATTTCCAATATGCTGTATGTTCATGTAGAATGCATATAGGGATTTTATTGTTATTTTTTATCATTCATAAAAATTCAAAAGAATATAAAATTGTTGTCTATCTTACTCCAAAATTGAATCACGTGTCTGTCGGATAGTGCGTAAGAATTTTAGCAATGCCTTTGAAGCTTTTACTCATTAAGCCATGCACATTTCTAAAGCTTAAACTCGTTTCACATCGATAGATAAGAAACGTGCCAGGAAGCAACGGGAAGGCAGTAAGTTCACGGATAAATATATACGGGATGCCTTAGCCTTTGGAATTCGCTCAGGCTGTTTGATACCCGTGGATTCGAATTGCCGTGTACTTCGAGTTTCTTCGGCTCTGGCGAACGTCAAAGATCGTAGAGGTGGCGTGAGTGCGAATGAACGATCGCTAGCGCGTCAAAAGAGCCAACACGACTCGCAGTCTTCAGCCAAAGGCGAAATCCAAGACGCAGGAAGACGCAGAAGACGGAGCAAGAGACGGCGCTCGAGGTCGAGGAGTCGCTCTTCAAGAAGAAGAAAAGTACGTCGACGTAGCTCAAGAAGCCACGAGGATAGGTATTAACGAGAAACTTGGTTTTACGTAATATACTAATTGCGTGTGAAATTTGATTTTTTCTTATTAACAAAATTATTTTATTTCACTTAAGCCGAGCCAAGTCGCCTGATGCTGTATCAAAACCGAAAAAAGTACCAGTTGCTAAGAGGACAGAAGATCCCGAAGAGCCGGACGACTATGAAGCTTATAGTGGTGATGAGGATAACGACTCGAAAAAAAATTCAAACTCAAACAGTAATGACGGAAAGAAGGGAAAAACTGGAAATTCAAGTCATCCGAACAAAGATACAAATGACACCAACGATAACGAAGTTGATGAATATATCTCGGATAATTCAGTCGATGAAGACGTATCGGATGACGATGAAGATAAAAAAGATTAATTTTTAACGTTAGAATCGAGTGATATCAGGAAAGAAATTTAATTAATTTAATAATCATACTGTATGTCCCTTTACTTTCACTCGCTCCTTTGATCGTGATAATATTCATATTCGTAATATTTCCCCGAAAAAAAGCAGGAATTCGTGTAGCGTGTGTGATCGTGATTTAACGTATCGTTGAAAGAACGGTTCTGTGTGTCAGCTTAAAATATTTAAAAAACAAACAACAACTGTCCCCCGAATCGCGAAAGAAATTTAACAACTTATTCTGATGTGAATAAAAAAAAATAGCGTCTACTTCAAAGTTCATTTTTTACTTGAACCAATTTTTCATTCTATCAGATCGAATTAAGAGTTTCAATGTTCCAAGTATCATGTACAAAAGCATCAGCACGTTATTAAACTTCACACCCTTCGCTCGTCCCATAATTTCACACTGACACTCGAGTGATATCGATGGACATATACATCACGGTTGATAAAAAGTACAGTAAGAAGGAATCGAACGTATATCATCTGATATACGAGACAACCTGATTGCTTAGAAACCTTGACATTTATAGCAAAGCATCAAAATCGTTCAACAGCTTCAATATCAGTATCTAAAATACTATTATTTCTTTTTTCAATTTTAAAAGCTCTCGTAAACCGAGGATATAAGCTTTTGTCAAGGTGCATTTGATATCTGCCATATATTCAATTTACGTAGTACTGCCATTAAATAATCAAATTCTCTACGAGGTAATCACAGTTTCTAAGGTCCATACTAAAGGGATATGAAACGCACTTTGATAAAAAAATTCATGAATAATATATAACTTTACTATAAAAATAGGTGATTGTAAAGCTCGAGTATAGCTATCGATAACATATCGAATTTGTATGAGAAAAAATGGGTATTGGACGAAAACACGTAGTTCCCTTCAATACCAGAATATCGGTTTACATACAAGAGGATGCTTGACGTCGATGTCTGCATCTTCAGGATAAAACTGTACGACAAGAGTTCATTCATCATGACAAGCGAAGCTGAGAGGATCATCGGACGCGTTGAGTAACAGATAAATTTCGTATTTTATCTTAAGAATTTAAAAAGGGCTGCGAAAATGCTTAAAGATATGTACCCAAGTGTTTCGTCGTATTAGGAGTCGCTTTTTGTATGATGTTTTGTGTCTAGTTTTTTTATTATTTCGGAAATTCACCTTTGGGCCATTAACGTTTTTGCAAGATCGACCGATAGTACCAGGTATACGAACTTAAATTCCAGACTGGTAGCCTTGGCGAGTCGGTCGAATGATATGCGGGTTTCGTATCGACCTATACCTAATGCCACCTAATACACTTCCTAAAACGTATTCCGTAGTTCCCGAGGATGAGATTACTTGGAACGTCGACGGTGAGACTAGAAACTCGTTCAAGGTCGACGTAATGTCGTTACTCGAGGAAGAAAGAGCGGGCGTTAAAAAAAAAAGGTGGGTTCAGATATTAGAGAAAGACAGAAACAAGAAAAACAGAAAACAGCCTTAATGCTCGAAATTTTTCACGTTCTTCTTCTTCTTTCTCGAGGTCGCAGCATCCCGGTCGTGTATTAATTCGCATTGAACAAAGACGTATTGCATCCAGAGAAAACTAACAATACTCCACTGCGTACGTGAAGCATACAAAAATTTATCATGTCTCCCAGATTCCTATCGTTTTCCCGAGTGATTATATTCTCGAGTCGTAGTTTTCTCGAAAATTCACATTCCCGAATGACTAACTTCATACGTCTTCAGAAAGTTGTCCACATGCGGAAAGCTGATTTTTCGAGAAAATAACGATTTCAGAAAATAACGTTGTCCAACAATTTTTCCATAAAACGACGACACGGAAATATGACTGTTCGAAGAATTAATAGGGATCCGGCGTCCTCCTATTGGAACGTGAATTTAATAGGACTAAAAGTCTGACGAAATTAATGTACCACGTTTGTGAGGTGGTACGCACCGCTTGAAATTCTTTGTTGCAAACATCAAATGGACGCCCCATAACTTTCGTTAGGGCTTTACAGCTGACTGAGTCCGTATAAGTGGAAATGCCAGTGACTTGATCAGACAGCATTGGCGGAGGTTTAGAATTCAACTTCGTTTGCGTTTCCAGTACGAGCTATCGCGCAGGAGACCTTTGACCTTGGTAGCCGTGAACTTCCCAAAATTTATACGGGCGCTATGACTCTGTTTCTCTCCATCTCTGTCTCTGTCTCTCTGCTGCTTGTCTATTTGATTACTCTCCATCTCGCTTTATCTCTCTTGGATATGCTTCTCTTCATTCTCTTACTTCTAGTACAACGAACACTGCCCTTCTCTCTTTGTCTACCTCTTTTCGTCTCCTTCTCTGTCTCTCTCTCTCTCCATATCTCTCTCTCTCTCTCTCTCTCTCTCTCTCTCTCTCTCTCTCTCTCTCTCTCACTCTCTCCTGCCAAGGGGAGTTCAGGCCAACCGACCCCCTTGAGGAATTGTATTAATCCCAGGGTAATATTAATAAAGGGTCTTCCACGTATGTTTGGGTTCGTGCCAGTTCTCGGAAGCTTTCAATACCGATTTCCCAGGTTCCATGTTCCACTTCCACTCCCTTATGGAGTATCCTCACGGATCGATCGCATTGCATCCGCGGTCGCGCTTGCTTTTCCCGCTTCACCGTCTACGATTGCGCAGCACGTGGATTCAAATTCGCACAAGACTTCGTGTAGAGGGGGCTGAGCGTCGTGATGCCAGTAAGGGTCAGAAGAACGCGGCTTTAGTTGACACGCGGCGTTCCGAGGCACGTTATGTATTTCGCATCCCCCTTCGCGCTGATTTACAAGTTCCGAGAACGCGTTAAACGTTGCGTAATCAGCACAACGTATGAGATAACCGCGGTACGAGTACAGTGGGATGTTTGAAGTGAAGTGACAGAATCGAAATATATAGTACTGATATAGAAGGGAAATGCTCGAGGAACCTTGTTGACGGTTAGAGAACTTAGAGAACGCGAGAAGTGGACTCTGAATGTGACTCGATTCTGACTTGAAATTGCAGTAGTGCTTCAGTGTATTATCCACACCGGTGAGTTGTAATTGTCTTTTATATTATTCGCTATGTATTCTCTATTCTATGTATTATCGTATTCTTGACAAATAAAGCGATAACCGTTATGCGAATGTTCACCCTGTCGATTAAAGCAAGTGCATTTTGTCGAACAATTTTAATTTGATCGTCGGGAGTTGAACTTGTCGACAATGCAAATTTTTTTTAAAGCTTTTTCGATGATGACACTCTTAAGTAATTGTTAAATAAAGTCAGTTTGAACAACCACTCCCTGTGTCGGCGGGGGTGTTGAATTCGTGTCTCCACTACTGGCTAATCGCGAAAAACGTACTTTCACTGTTGTACTCAACTTGACCTTTCAGTAACTTGGAGTATTGGATTTCCGCACGTGCTTGGGAAAATATTTTATTCAAAAGAAACTCCATTACTTTCGTGCGTGTATATTGTAACGGAATAATCGCCATATTACATACGTACCATGAAACGTGATGGAGAAAAAGGATTAACATCAAACGATACGGTTCTAACAAAACGTTTTTAATCAAACGAATTATATCTTGACAAGGAGTTAAATTTTTATTAAAAAGATCACATGAAAATTATTAATGATACTGTTTATCGAATAAATCAAGTCTCCTTCACGTGAAAGTGGATCTTAAGGATTCGTTAAGAGGAAGTAAGGGCTTTGAAGGATAAACTAAGACATTCAAAAAGAGTTTTTAGGAATTTTAAAAATCATCGTATGGCCTTGTGATACGTTTTTCCTTGATCAAAGGAGACTGATGGATTTTCATGAATTTTAATTATTCTACCCACACGATGGCCTGAAGCTTTGCTGATTAAAGTTTGACACCGTGAAACTTTTTTATTTTTAGTCTGGTTAACAACACTTGCTAGAAACTTGTAAAATTTTGAAATTTTTTCATAGCGTTTATCAAGCTTATTATAATCAAGTTTCAAAGAGCCAATTGCAATAACTCTCGTCGAGAAAGTCAATCGATAACGGGTAGAAGAGTGCCCGAGTATGTCTGAAAGGAGTAGAACATGTAAGTCCGCATTATGCGTATTCGAACGGAAATAGACAAGAAAAAAGTAGAAATGGACCTTTTATAGTGGATCACGGCAAAGAAAGATCTTTGAAAAAAAAAATGTTAATTAAAATAAAACAAAAAAGGTCATGATCTCAACCCATGTAAAATGATGTTCCACGTCGTTTCGCTTGTCAAAGAAAAGCAAGTACCTAGTCGCACCCTACATTGATAACCAACCCTTACAGTCACAAAGGTAGCATAGTTCATTAATTTTCCCTGTGTTCCTCGCAGCATCGCTAAATTAATATTTATATAACCCTCGCAATTTAATGACAGGATAGAAACAATTCGTTGGTAACTCACGGAAAACAATTTCCTGCAACGTTGTACGTACGTGTCACCTGTGCCGTGTCCTCATACCCTCAAAAAAATCCTCAGACCCTCAATTATCTTTTTCTAATGAGCGATCGATCTATTTACAGCTCATATTGTTATTATCGCCTTCTGGTTAAACTTACCGTACGTAGTAGGTATCGGCTCAGGGAACGCATGTAATGTTAATCTAGGCCGAAAGGTATTGTCATCCATAATTACACAGTGACTGGTTCCCTGGCAGAGAGTGACGTTCTAGCACGTGTAACATTGAACTTTTACACTTATCTCCTATCGTAACTTGAATCACAGTCTTAAAGATAGACGCCCACATATGAGCTTGTAAAAATATAACTATATAGCTGTTTTCAAGAATTCACAGTCTTCTATTAACGTATCAATTCCCAAAGCGTTTATCCTGATAATAACAAGCTGAAAATTCATACTGTACGTCTTACTTAGCGTCTAGAAAATCGGGGAAGCTCTTGGAAAATTTCCAAATGGCATCTTCAGCAGGATTAACAGAGCTCTACGTTTCATTGCATACGTATAAGTCCTTTTCGAAGTCACACCGTTGCAATCGCCAAATGAAACAATTAACAGTGAAAGTGTTGAGAGGCGAATTTACAATTGAATTTCCCGCGTTAAATTCGCTATACATTTAATTGACATTCAGTTCTCCTATACGTCCAGCTTAATGACGCGATGATTGATATACATATCGTTAACGTTGTATCGAATCGAAATCAATAGCTTCAAGATGAGGCTGGATAGGATGATTTTTTTCCGTTTGTGGAATTTTTCTTTTATCATCGTATGTACTGCTAATTGAATTTCAGACGAAAGCACCGTATATACATATGCATACAGTTATATGCACTCAACGCATCAATCATCTTTTGAATGAAATGATTCGCGAACTAATAAAAACGATGGTCAGCAGTGAATATTTTATTGCACGCGAATCGATTTCGTTTCCATTTCTATGCTAAAATCACTTGCAGATTCTTTACATCAGATTTATGTATATACATATACATAAATGCAATTATGTATATCAAATGTAAATTAGCCTTTGCTGGCAAGTTGTTTCATTGGGAAATAACTTTTGTAGTGAAAAGGATTAAAATTTAAATTGGAATTGTAAGGTATGCATTCTCGAGGAACGGCATGCGAGGCAAATCGAAACTAAGCAAATACCATACGAGAACGTTTTGTACTATCGTGCGCTATTCTCTTATCGCTATATCTGACTCGGTTATCTTTCATTCTTTCGTAAAGACTTTCTTTAAACGGCTATCACACTTAGGCGCGAGTTTCTTTGTATTCCGCTATTATGCGAATTACTCGATTGCAAATACTGTGCAGCTAACCGCAAGCTTCTGACCCTCGAAACGTGAGATAAGGAACTTCAGCGGGACATCGGATGCTGCTGAAAGTAAATTTAATTTTACTTAAAGCCATCATCACCTCGGCTCTCATTCTATTGCCTGAATATTTTATTCTTAAAACGAAGCTTCCTGTCGTTTAACTCGCGTCACTAGCACCGTATCGAACATAGTCGTCGTTTCCCAAGAATTGTACAATTTTCTATATATATAGGAATATTTTTTGCCAGGGGATACTTTGGGCACGATTTCAATTACGAAGTTGCTATTTTGAGGACATGTGGCTGTTTTAGGGACCACCCTGGATTTTCCAGCGTAATGACTGCTCTGAGGACTATAAAGCGGACTTTCTCACCTGAGCTGTTAATATTTTTTCAATGTTAGACATCCATTGTGATGGGCTTTGAAATGTTTCGTTAGGTTGGATTAGGTCAGAATTCCAATGCTGTGATGTCCCATGGTGGTGGTAGTTAAAAAAATACATTAGCTTGCTATTGTGAATGCCACTTCATTTTTCGTGTTCCCAAGGTATCTCTTTGGCAAACTTGTATATATATTCTTGATTCAACTTTCAGGGAAGCTTATCTCTTTCAAGTTTACCGACGATCATGGCGATTCTCTCGTATCGGCAGATAAAAGTTTCACTGGATCACAGTTAATGCCCAGGGTTTGCTATCTCTAATTGCTAATAGACGTGACCTTGCATAAACCAATGAAATAGGATTAATTAAACGTGTACGCGATATGCCCGCCTCATTTGCAGAACAGACGAAAGCTTTACTCGCACGTGGGTAACGGGTAAGCTGAATGTCAATATCGATAAATTGCCATTATGCAAGATTGTCAGGTGCAATATTGACAGGCTGTGTGGTGCTCTCGGCGTGCTTTGGTCAGCTGTTACATCGGGGAAAATGGGTAACTGGACGTTGTAGATTTAGAATTAAAAAAAAACAATGACAGATAATAAATTTTTTGCGGACTCGAAAATAATTCTTATCGAAATGCTGAAAAATGTAAGAAGCGAGCACGGAGTAAAGTCATTTATATATTATCCAAAATGACGTTAATTTATTGATCTGTCGAATTGAATTTTTAATCGATATAATTGTTATAGCCCAGCGTCTTAACGCAGCGCAGTCTAATGTACCGCAGGTACGTGTATACGAAACTTCGTATGCGAATACTGCAGAAGCTCCTGGTCCAAGATTAGCCGTCGATGCGAACAGCTCGATTCATTGATTCGGCTGATTCAATGTGTTAACTAATGAACTCGTTTGAGAAGTTTCATTTATACGTTATGGAAAATCAATTTCCATTAGGCGATCATTAGGCGACTTTAGAATCGACTAGGTGTTACAGTATTTCAGCATCGAATCATAAAAAAGAAGAATGAACTCGTTAGCCCGCAGACTTTCAATTATCGCCCGTCATACTGGCAATCTGCTACATCCGATCCTCCTACGGTCGAACCCTTTAGCTTCGTAAACTTTTACGTTAATCTGTACAATTATACAGAAGCTTCTCGAGCGAAAGGCAAACACGTGGGAAATACGTGGGTCAGGGATTTTATTTAAGTTATCCCTACGGGTATTGCGTAGCTTCTCGTTTACAACGTAGAAAAATACGAGTCTTGTTTGCCAGAATCTCATATGTGTTGATACTGATACGATCACTGATACGAGTGCTAAGGGCAATTTCAAAATAGCTCGTTGAGTAATCTCCGTAGCGATTATTATACTTAAAATAAAACAAGGAAACAAATAATTATCAGGCGGACAGCTGTTCGACCTCTTACTGCAATCAGGACGAGTAAAGCGAATTTTCGAGATTACAGGAATCGGAATAATATTTTCGATTTGCGAACTCTGTACCAATTACGAACGTAGTTTCACTCCTGAAACTCTTTTGATTTAACGCTCTTCCGGAATCTCGTGTACTTTTGGTTTCGTATTTTTCAGCTCGTATCTTTTCGCGGGTGACAATTATTCAGTACGAAGTGACTAGGAAATCTATGGATGTCCTATTAAGCTTTCGTTACCCTATGAATTCATATTTTTGGTTTTAATTTTATTCTCCGGAAACTTTAATCGCGTTGTATTTATTTATTATCGTATGAAATAGTGTACACGTTGATTGGTACTTCGTCTACCTCGAGGAATCAGTATGCGTTGTTACACTAACGCGAAAGTCGCGTGCGCATAAATGGTATATATATATATATATATGT